TTTTTTTAAAAAGATTTTTTTTTTTTTTTTTTTTTTTTTTTTTGCTATAGGGTGCATGTATTTGCCAGAGAGACAGAGAGAAAGCAAGCAAGCAAAAAATCACCCCCAGGAAGATGGCCAGGCTGCAAATCCTTCTCCTCCATTCTCCTCATGCACATGCAACTGGTGTGAGTTTCAAACTGCCAGGTTCAAGATTCACACTGTGGTCAGCTGTGTGGGAGTCCAGCTACATTACCATTACACCATCTACTGGTCCCAAGGATAAGGCTCTTAACAGTTCAATTTATAAATTTTTACAAGACTGATAACCCAGAAATTAGAGGGTGGTAGTGAATCCCAGAAATGAGGCAGCCAAGAGCTAAAACCCAGGGTCCTCACACCTGGCCTGCCCTCTACTGTCCTTACAAGGCTAATACTTGCAGGTCTGGCTTGTGCTTTTTGCTCTATGTGTGACCGGGAGAACAGGGCCAGCTCTTCAATCATGCATCAGGTAGGCAGAAGAGGAAAAAGAGATGTCTATGCCCTTTGCTCCATTCAGCTCAGGGGAAAGTTTAGTTCCAAATGAAGTTGGAAAATACAGCAGTTCAGAGTCATGGATTGACTCAGCTGGCTACTAGCAGTGGGCTCTGGCTTCAACCTACTCTTCTGCCTGCCTAAATATCTTGGAGACAGAAAGATTTGTTTTTCAAAAGAAAAATACAAAAAGTTGTAAAGCACACAATGAAAGAACATCTATTCCCTATAGCCCAGGGTGCCCAGTTCCCTCATAAGGAAGGACTGGCTGTCGCTGGTTGTGGGATGCACCTTCATCCAGAGAAGGAAGGTCTTGCTTGTTTCAGCGTCAGAAGACCTGTCAAAAAACCAGTGAAGTCCTAAGCCTGGTGTTTGCACATAAGCTTTTAAGTTAGAGCATGAAAAAACATTTCCATTCTTAGAAAGATAGACGATTTCATAGACATTAAAAGGAAGTACTAGGTACAAGCAAATTCGAGTTTTCCAGAAGCTGCAGAGGGTGAGGAGCAGTACCAGGCCAGGTGCCTAAGTGAGCCTGGGCTGTGCAGGGGCAAAAGAGACAAAGGAACTGGCCCTCCAGGTAGCAAGCTCAGTTGCAGTCTGGGCTGCTTCATTCAGTCTTATTTACGCATTCAGATTTGGCATTTCTAAATCAAGATATCTAAGAAATGGGCCACTGGAGCTTTGAGGCAGAAGCTCTCAACATCTTTTATTAAATTTTATTGATTTTAATTTATATTTTATCACATGTCTTTACATTATGCATTTCTTTTTCCAACACAAAAACCATGCATGTCAGCCAAGACAAAGATATTATCACCCCCAGGAAGATGGCCAGGCTGCAAATCCTTCTCCTCCATTCTCCTCATGCACATGCAACTGGTGTGAGTTTCAAACTGCCAGGTTCAAGATTCACACTGTGGTCAGCTGTGTGGGAGTCCAGCTACATTACCATTACACCATCTACTGGTCCCAAGGATAAGGCTCTTAACAGTTCAATTTATAAATTTTTACAAGACTGATAACCCAGAAATTAGAGGGTGGTAGTGAATCCCAGAAATGAGGCAGCCAAGAGCTAAAACCCAGGGTCCTCACACCTGGCCTGCCCTCTACTGTCCTTACAAGGCTAATACTTGCAGGTCTGGCTTGTGCTTTTTGCTCTATGTGTGACCGGGAGAACAGGGCCAGCTCTTCAATCATGCATCAGGTAGGCAGAAGAGGAAAAAGAGATGTCTATGCCCTTTGCTCCATTCAGCTCAGGGGAAAGTTTAGTTCCAAATGAAGTTGGAAAATACAGCAGTTCAGAGTCATGGATTGACTCAGCTGGCTACTAGCAGTGGGCTCTGGCTTCAACCTACTCTTCTGCCTGCCTAAATATCTTGGAGACAGAAAGATTTGTTTTTCAAAAGAAAAATACAAAAAGTTGTAAAGCACACAATGAAAGAACATCTATTCCCTATAGCCCAGGGTGCCCAGTTCCCTCATAAGGAAGGACTGGCTGTCGCTGGTTGTGGGATGCACCTTCATCCAGAGAAGGAAGGTCTTGCTTGTTTCAGCGTCAGAAGACCTGTCAAAAAACCAGTGAAGTCCTAAGCCTGGTGTTTGCACATAAGCTTTTAAGTTAGAGCATGAAAAAACATTTCCATTCTTAAAAAGATAGACGATTTCATAGACATTAAAAGGAAGTACTAGGTACAAGCAAATTCGAGTTTTCCAGAAGCTGCAGAGGGTGAGGAGCAGTACCAGGCCAGGTGCCTAAGTGAGCCTGGGCTGTGCAGGGGCAAAAGAGACAAAGGAACTGGCCCTCCAGGTAGCAAGCTCAGCTGCAGTCTGGGCTGCTTCATTCAGTCTTATTTACGCATTCAGATTTGGCATTTCTAAATCAAGATATCTAAGAAATGGGCCACTGGAGCTTTGAGGCAGAAGCTCTCAACATCTTTTATTAAATTTTATTGATTTTAATTTATATTTTATCACATGTCTTTACATTATGCATTTCTTTTTCCAACACAAAAACCATGCATGTCAGCCAAGACAAAGATATTACTATATATATTATCATCAGTAAATAGCTTCTCATTTTTTGTCAATTAAGCACTTTCATCATTTTTTTCCTCGCCTTTTCCCCATCTCTTCCATACTAAACTCTTTTTTTTTTCATATTTTGTTTTTTCACAAAAGATCTTAAAGTATGGACAAAGCTAGAATCTAGTGACAAGTGCACTGTAATTTTCTTCTGAAACAATTTTTTTCTCTCTCCATTCCCCCTTTTACTAAAGAGAGGTATAACTAACTTAATTGAAAAAAAAAAAAAGATTAATCTCAATTCGGTCTGTTATTTGCACAAAGCTCCATGAGAATTTGATTTCTGATGCAAGGCATCAGATACTATTATATTATTGAACTTACGCAAATAATGTTCCTGACACAAACTAAAAACGCTCACAAATATTTTCCAATTTTAAAGAGGTCAGGAAGGGAGAAAAGTTTGTTTCAATTTTAAAAATTCTTTAACAAATTACTGAACCCAGCAACTCAAAAGAAAACAAAAATCCTTAAATCTGGAAGACAAAGCATAGAAGAAAATCAATTATGTTTTAGAAAAAAAGTCATAGAATTCTCTTTCATCAGTTCAGTCTTACAGAACCTCTTTTGTTGAATTTGCAGTGTTACTGTGGTCTAACCTTATTATTGATATGCCAGAACTTGTCCCTATCATTAAATTGGCCTTTCTCTTGGTCATTTTTTGTTTTCTTATTTGTTTGTCTTTAGTTTTCC